TCCTCTATCGAAGAAAGGTCTTTGTTACAAGCGGATCTGAGCAACGTCGTTAGTTGGTGTAATGGAAACTATATGCCACTAAACCTTCAAAAATGTAAAGTTATGTGTTTCTCTCGGAGGGCTGTTCAACCAGCGGTTTATTCAATATCAAATTATAATCTGGAGCAGGTATCCAGTTTTGTCGATCTTGGTATCACAATGGATTCCAAACTCAATTTCAACCATCATATTAATATTACAGTCAATACAGCCAATGGCGTTTTTTCCTTTGTAAAGCGATGGTCAAAAGAGTTCAAAGATCCTTACAAAAGCTCTTTTTACCACTTTAGTTAAAACTATACTAGAATACGGATCTATTGTTTGGAATCCCCGCTAACAAGTTCATTCAGAGTCAGCTGACACGATCTGTCTTACCAAAGCGCCATGTAAATAAAAATTCAACACCGCAGAATTTTTCTGTAGTTCTAGCCCGCAGCGCAGAATTCTGCGGAATTTAGATTTTTCCGTGTCAGCTGATTCCCAATAAACACAAAAAAAATATTTCTCCAACCTTGGAGAAATTCATAGTTCTCAAGTTGATATCCAAAATCATTCTCCAAGTCATCTCTAACCGACGCGCAGATACGTAAAAAGTGATAAAGAAACGAATTTTTAATTATCAAGTGAAAAACCAAAGCTATATAAAGAGGAAAATTAACAACAAATAGTAAATAATCTTCAAAGTATCCTCAAACAATCTTGAAATAAAATAAATGGCGAAGTGAATCAAGTGGCAAAATTACTGTCGGACTGTATACTGTGAAGTGAATTGTTGTAATACGATATTAATTGACTACATAATACAAAAGGAGTAATAAAATAAAAAATTTAAATTCATCTATGTATGTCGTTTCAATCAAAAAGGTATAAGGTATTTTAGCATTTTCCCAACTTGAGAAACGGTCCTTGTTTCATACAAAGAAAAATGCCCTTTTTGTTGAGAACGCTATGATACTCCACTTGAAGTACTGTTGAGAAACAACGTTGAAGATTTGAGAAATACCTTAGTTCTCAACTTAAAACCTAAATGTTTGTTGGGTTTCTTCTTTCTTTAGACGGTTGCCACTTCGTCAGTTTTGCAGATGGTAAAAAGTTCCTATTCAAATATGTTTAAAATATTTGAAATTTACTATTGAATAGGTTTTTGTTGAAAGCTAAGTAGTTTATATTTAGCCACAATCTATTATAGCACGAAAAATTGTAGTTGAAAAGGTAATGGCCTGTTTTTGCTTACGCGTAAAAACACATTTAGCGCATTTAGCTCTAAACTTTTGTTTATCCAAATAATGTAAAATAATAAATGAAATATCGATCGGCGATCACTAAAACTCAGCTAGCCACTGTTTACGGGAAAAAGCAATGTTGCCACTTTTTCTCATTAAACCATGTTCGAATCGTGGAAGTTTTGGAAGATCACAGGGTTGCTTTTAGCATTTAGATTCTTAATGCAAAAATGTAGTTGCATTTAGGTGACGAATTTTGTACGGATAAATGTACATTTGGAGTAGCATTTAGAGCTTACGCGTAAAAGCACATTTATTACGCGTAAGCAAAAACAGCCCATTAGATACTGTCATTGGATCATGAAGAAAGTGACGATCAATTTTTATATGAAGGAATGAGAATTCAAGTCGCTTGTGTTTTTTGTTTAAAAATTACTTGTTTTTTATCCAAACTTCAATCTTTGTACAAAAGTTAAGAAAATTTGACAAAGTTCCATAACAATTTTGAGCTTTTTATTTCGATTTGTATTAACATTGTTACACGGACGTTGTTTTATGAATCTCACCGCCTCTTTTTTCTCGTTATACATTTATCCATGTATGTAGACCCATCAGCAAACATATATGTAATACTTCTATATTGGCAGTAAGCTAACTTTTCAATGTGTAAGCATTCCGAAATCAAAGCGAGACAGTCTAGTACCGTTTTTGTCAATGTATTGTGTACTTGAGTGCCGTTTTTGTATATGTGTTGTGTACATGTTTATTTATAAACGTATGTGTTCCTTTTCTTTCGTACGTGTTTATTGATATATCTGTACTGTAGTGTTTTCGGACGGTACTAGCTCTTACTGCCAATATAGGATTATTACATATATGTCAGCAAAGGTTTCTTAAATGGCAGTTTAATTAAAATTTTCCATTGTTGTCATTTAAACTAGAGGGGATACAAAAGACCGTTTGTTCTTTTCCTTCACTCTCTAGCTTTGCACTAAAGTATACGTTTTACTGTGCGAGAGAAGAAGGCAGATAATATTGTACGGGATTTAGTATTTCATTTTTCTTCTTCCTTCATTTGCTGATTGCAATGCTGTTGCAAGGATTATATAAATAAGTTAACAATTTTAACTTAAAAGTTCAAAATATTACATCAAACACAAAAATCTTCATTTTGAAGATATTTTCAGTGTAAAACTTTGCTTTTTAAAAAATCTTCTTTTGAAGATTTTTCATTTTAAATCAAATCAAAAATATTCCTTTTAAAGATAAATCTTGACTTATGGCAACGCTGATTATGAGATGTACTGACGAAATGTATGGAACGCGTTTTGAAAGTGCTACACGTTCAATATTTATTGACGGTATTGCGATCCGCGATCCAGATTTCAAAATTTGTTAAAATTTTGCGATATGGATCACGATCCATCAATATTGCCTTTTACACCGTCAATAAACATGATTCAATAATACAAGGTTCGATAAACTGACAGTTGTCTCTCTCGCACCGCTCCCTTAGCAGTGACACCGTGTTGCTACTTTGCAAATTTACTTGGATAAAGTGCAGCTTTGCTGTGAAATAGAAGTATAAGCTTTTGTGCAATATGTTTATTTGTATATGCATATGACGGACATTTAACTGATGAAACCATAAATTGTTTTTAAATTAGATGTTTACATAAATCTCATAGTAGTTTTATTTTAATTTTGAGTCCTTTTGCGGTTTTTATACAGCTAAATAGCACATAAATTACGTAATTCACGTAGATATGTTAATATTTCGTTTAAAATGCCAGACTTCCTGCAAATGCATTAGAATTTACAAAAGGAATTTCACTACTTGCATAGTTTTCTACTACCATTTTCGCAACAAAGGGTTGCATTCTTCCCCTTTCTCTGTCCTTCGTAAATGCAACCTTTTGTAAGGGAGTGTCGAACCGCGGCTGTCAATAATTATCTTACCTTGTATTATTTAATCATGGTCAATAAATATCGCGATACTTGGATCACGTCAATAAATACTGACCGTGTGACTGGACCCTTAAACTAATGTATCACCAAAAATCAATAAACCTGAAATCCACTCATTCCTAGAAACTAGTAGAACTGTAAAACTATCGTCGGTACTGTCGATACTATTGTGGCGAATACTGCGGCAACACAAAGCGAACAACGAGAAATAGGCA